ACTTAAATGTTACAGATAGATATATTGACCTTTCAAAATCCTGTTGATAGAAATTGTGCCATTGCGTGTATTAAAAAAGTATTAGCTTCGCTTCTAAGAAAATGTGCTTACAATCCTCACGCACGAATGATCATAAATTACGTTATTAATGATTAACTTGCCTAATAGGGCAGGAACCAATACCACAGGAACTAATGACAAAAATAACTGTATTGATCCTTGACATGTTATCCCCTTATAGAAATATCATACTAAGAATCATTGATAATTAATTATTATCCAGTATTTTTAATACTGAAAATAAGTAATTATAAATGATTCTTAGTATGATATTTCTATAAGGATCATGAAGTGATCCACTCATTTTCATATTCAAAACGTATTACTTCATTTAAATTACGAACATTAAACATATGAATGTTTTTAAAATGTTATAGTACAATCTCATTACTAAAGATCTCTTTTATAAATGTACTATGATAACAATAATTATATAATAAGTGATGATATACAATATTGATGAATTAGAAACAAACATTATTATTGCTCAATAACGAAAAACATAATTACTATTTTTTATGAAACCAATTAGAATTATTATTGTTTAATAGAATCTTTTTTTAATAAGAAATATTGATTAGGATAACCTAATTTATCGAAACGAGAAAGGAATGATATCAATTGTTTTATTTACTCTAAGTAATTTGCATAGACAAGAAAGAAAGAAGGAAAGGAAAAATGAATAAGTAAGAGAGGAAAAGAGAAAGAGAAAGAGGAAGAGAGAAGGAGAAAGAGAGAGAGAATTTCTTACCTCCAATATCCTTTCCATATATGGGTGACAGGATTATCAACAGTAACGTTAGTAGAGTCGATGAAACAGTCGACACGTCAGTTGACATTCTTGATAATAGCCTTGATCGTAGCATTCTGATTCCAGGGACTTTCCACGTCGAAAGATGTACCTCGTCTGACTCGTTCACTCGCTCACATCCATATTTACTACCAATTTTTCCGATCCCCACCATGTTGCAAATAATTTCACGATGGAAGTGGTAGTGGATTATGAGATCATCTTGTGTCTTTTTATTTCTTGTTCCGAACCGTGCACTTGACGAGTGTGTTAAGGTGTTCGTTTTCACAAACATTTATTGTAGAGCTCCATATTATTGTAGAACTAGGCAGATGAATTATTAATGTTATATGAAGCGAACGATCTTGTAATAAACAATAATACTAATATATTTACGGTAAATTCAATTCACAAAACTCTTGAAACGGAAAAAGCGTACCTTGCACAAATGATTGTATTTTTATTATTTAATAGTAATACAGATTATTTATGCATGGCCTTGGAGTCGAGTTTAGAGTTAATCTCAATTACAATAAATTTTTATTGTTGGCTTAAATATCCGGACATTATTGGATATATATATATATATATATATATATATATATATATATATATATATATATATATATATATATATAT